GATTGGGGGGGGGGGGGCACTTGAACAATTTTGTTATAAATATTCAGGCGCACTCAAAACGTATCTAGTACTCTAGGCTGCTGCCATGCGGTAATATTGTAGGAGGACTTTATTGATCGTGAGACATAATATTGTTACTAATCTCTTCAAGAAAAAATAATAATCTATTAAAGAAAAGGACATAAGTTAGAAAATTGGGAGTTCAATTAGGTTAATTAATATATCCTATTTATAGGATGAAATAATTATTTTTGAGTTGGATTAGGATTGGGGCAATATTTTTATTTTTGCTCAGTATTTTTTATTTTTTTTCTGGTTTTGTCCCCACGTTTTCTTTCTCAATCTAATTCTATCTACACATGAAGTTTTTTTTTAAAGTATAGTAGTAGCACTCCCTCCCTCTATATTTACTTGTTCATATAATATATCAAATAAAAATAATATTTTTTGAAAATATTTTGAAATTTTTCATTGATGAATCAACCCATTTTTTAGATGGACTGAAATGAGTTGGCCTAAGTTTAGTGTATATATTTTTGAGGAAATTTCATGAATAGTTTTAGTAGATTTGATGTGTTTTATAGTTATTTTGCAGGAAAAAATAAGATTTGATGACTATGTTTTGAAAAGAAGATAGTGCATGCAAAAATTTACTATCTACGAGCTATTATACGGATTGTGATTTGATCCATGAGCCATATATTATAGTCATACTTGAGATTAAAAAAATTGTAAAAAAAAACAGAGTGTTACGAATGAGCAGTACAATCGATAAAAGTTTCTACGATTTTGAGAATGAATTTGTGGTTGATATTCAGAGAAGGATAACAAAAGTTGATTTGTACGAGGGAGGAGTACGATTTATAGAAGTCTCCCCCTCCCATTTGGATATGTTAAACTAGATTTGATTTTTGCCCCATTTGGGCATGAAAACATTTTTTTCTGCTTTCTTGTTTTTTTAGCACACAGGGTGCTCATTTTAAATACTTAATAACTAATATTACATGCTATGGTTGGTAAGAATAGGGACTAGCGATTTTAAACGCTTGGGAATGAAGGCAAAAACAAGGCTTTGGTTTTTATCTCACTTTGCCCGTTATAGTGACTGACACGTCGCTATCGTGGTTGCTGTTATAGTGGGAGCACTGTAGCGGCTCAATCCCTTTATGGTGACCCCAACGAGCTCAGTCCAGAAATTTCAAAATTAAGCAATGTCCCCCATTATATAGTCATATTAACTCATGCAACACAACTATTATTAATAAAATAATTTTCAAGATCGTTTCCAGTCATGTATAATACATGCTTTACATCATGACCTTGAATATAACCCCAAAATCAAACCCAACATACATCATAAGAACTTACCTCATATGATCACAAATTTTTAGGACTGGAATACACACAAAACACGATCATTTAAACACATAGCAATTCATCATTCAATAATCACACTTAATCAGGTTACAATTTTTCCTTGTCCACAATCTCACAGAAATCTAAGCAATTATGTTTCACACATTGCAGTTATTCAAGCAATGCAATGCATTGCATATAATAACAATCATTAAGCTTTATCACAAAATTAATCAGGTTCATTACATTCTATTCGCATCATGAATGACCACTAACTAACCATCCATGCATTCACATGACCCTTAAGGCCAGATACCAATTAGAACCTTCCTGATTCCAACTTTCATTATTGTTGTCCCTTTGGCCGCGACAACGACATCCAATTACTTCGTCGAGATACCAATTGCACTCAACCCATACCACAAGTAACATATTGCATGAAAGGAGTGAAGATGTGAGACAACTTCCTAGAATGCCTCGTAGCCCCCTATAGATTAAATGTGGATGTCAACACACCAATCCTCAGGATTCTATTCGGCATTTTTTCTTGTAATGGAAGACCGGTAACCTGAGTTCCGATACCAAATTGTCACAACCCAATCCATCAAGCGATGTGGGCACCTACTCTAGCACCTAGATAATAGAACCCTTACAACCCAATTTTAAAACGGACGATGCAAAAATTAGTAAAACATCAAAAATCTCTTTAATAAGTTGGAATAATTATGAAAACTTAAGTACACGAATCATCTTTTACAATTAACCGAAAGGCTCTCCCAAATAACTAGTGTAAATAGGTATATGAGCTACAAAAAGAGTACAAAATAAAGCAAATAGATAAAGCTCCCACCATAAGGAAAAGGGGAGTAGAAGCTGTCGAAGAATTACCATTGTCTTCACCTATGAGACATCACTAATCCTGCAACCAGACTATACTAAGTGGCATAATAAGAATAGTATCAGTACAAACAACACGTACTAGTAGGCATCATCGGTTGATCCGAATCCATCACCTAATATAAAGTAGACAATTTGAAGAAACCATGCAATATAAAGGTTACACCACCCAAGTCTTTATCCACATGCTCCAGGTATAATGGCCATAACCTAGTACACTTTGACCCTAACTTCCTACCTCATTTTGCTGACAACTCTACCATTAACCATTCGACCCTCTTACCACTCTAAGACTTCTCAAACCTACCATTTTATGACACCCTAAGACTTTACAAGCCTACATGTTATGACACTCTAAGGTTCCTAAGCCTCTACCTTGATGAGATATATCCTAGAACACTTTAACAAACACACATAGTTCACGTAAATCAACTAAGAACAAGACTCATGATCATCAACTTGACCTAACTAAATGCATGAAATATGTCCCACATGACCACACACGAACCCATACCTTAGTCTAACTCACATTTCCAGTAACCCGAACGACTGATGGATCCTCTAAGATCTAGTCCATTGTGTTTAACATGCAATTCTAGTCTACATAAGAACCATCCCAACATTTAAACACAACATTCCGGCCACTCAAGATCCAACATGTGATCAATATAACACATTCCATAAAACCGGTCCTCTCATGGAACCACACACAAACTATTAATGTACAATGTACATACATGGTACCCGAGCCAACTATTGTTAGTACATGCCATGTGTAGTACCCGAGCCAACCATCAATAACAAACATCACGCACAATCATAATAATAATGAACAACAACACTTGAAATCACCAGCAAATAAATAGGTTCATTGAGATTATCCACATGATGTCATTTCACATTAGCTTTTTCGTTTTTCTCACATGTATTACACAAGTAATACTATACAACAATTAACATGCACACATTACATAACTTGGAAACCAAACAACCATCACCTACCCGAAGAATTCCTCCCCGAGTATTTCCTTATCACAATCTGATTACCCAAAATTTCCTTCCTAGGATCACACCCAACAACCATCATAATGCCCACAATAACTAATTCAAGTCCATCATCATCCTAAACCCCAACTAACAACACATTCAACCATTTAGACTCCGTGTTCGAAGGCCTATGCATAAATCCCTCAACACTCTACAAAGTATTATATGAGTAAATACAGGTCTAACTACTCAGTTAAGTAAATCTAGTTTACTTGGAGCCAAACAACTGTTGAAGGACTCAAAACACAAGCTTATGGCTCCGAGGGGGGGGGGGATCCTAACGAACATAGATCGGGAATCCTTGAGTTTTAACCTTCCTTGCGCTGAAATATCTTCCCTCCATATCCTTGAGAACATTACTTGTGAAAAAGTTTAAATTATTGAATTCACCAATTTAAATTGATTAAAATTATGTTCAACCTAAATTATCCAAATGTTTTCTAATAGAGCGATAGAGGATGTGATTAATATCTTAAGATAGAAGTAAAGAGGCTTCCTCATTCATATTTAAGTTTAAAAGTGATTACAACATGACATTCTCAATCTCATAGATATAATAATCACACCAATACAATTTATTTTTCATATAGAAAAAAAAGTTTTTTATGCTCCACACTAGCATATGATTTTTGATGTGTACCATGAAGCACAAAGAACATAAAACCCAAAGTCTATAAAGATAAGTATGGCTAGAAGGCCATAGAAGCAATCAAGTCTACTCTTGTTAATACTCTCACCTACCCATCCATTATTAATATTTGTGGTGGTCACCTTCTTAACAATGGATATCAAGAGACTACTAAAGAAGAAACCAAGTGCCATAGTAGTAAGGAAGAGGCCAGTGCTCATTGTTTTCATTCCTTTAGGTGATTGTGTGATGAATAAATCCAATTGTCCTGTATACATGAAGCCCACTCCTGCACCTACCAAAAAGAACTGTGGGATCAACAAAAAGACACTTATTGGTAAGTTGTTAGATGTCTCTTCATTTGCTTTTGCAATTGATAGTCGTTTAACTTCTATTATTGATGCAACACCCATACCCAAACAAGATAGAAATAGACCTATTCCTATCTTTTGTAAACTTGTGAAACCTGCAAAAAATAAACATAAAATCATGAAGAAATTCTTGCATTTTGATGAAATTAGTTTTTACTATAGATTGATAATAATATTGTCTATGTAAAACAATGATACTCCCTCCGTTTTAAAAAGAATGACATACTTTTCTTTTAGTCCGTTTAAAAAAGAATAACCCCTTTCCTTTTCTGGCAACACTTTAATTTCAATTTTCCATGTGACATGTTTAAAACCACAAGATTAAAGGACATTTTAATACATTTGACATAACTTTAATTTAAGATGAGATTGAAAAGTCTTCTTTAGTTTCTTAAACTTCGTGTCAAGTCAAACTAGGTCGTTCTTTTTGAAACGGATGGAGTATAGTAAGAATAGTCACAAAACAACAAATTAAAAATTGAACATTTTTGTCATATCAAACACACATTATGTTACCTGATTTTGTTGTCCATTTTTTCACGAAAGGTACAATTAAACGATCATATGTTGCAAGAGAGATTAATATAGCTGATACAAAGAAGGCAGTGAGAGATGCAGCAGGTATTCTAAAGTTGCCAATAGATCTCTCCATAGTAGATGCTTGTTCTACTGAAAAGGTAACAAGTTGTGCATAGGCTGTCCAGAATAAAATAGTTGTTGTCCAAATTGGTAATAATCTAATAATCATTTTTACTTCCTCCACTTTTGTCACTGAGGAAATTCTCCAAGGATTTTGAGCCAAGGAACTAATACATTCATAATCTTCCTTTGTCAGAATTGCAGCCTTGTCCAATATTCTATAAATTAAGATACAATATTTAAATAAGTTATAATTTCAAAATAAAAAAAAACATCGAATATAGTAAAAGTTATATATATATATATATATTAGTTCCTTAAATTTGTACATTAGATACTCCAAATGGTTGGGTCGTGTCTTTATATATTAATGACTAAAAGTTTGTTCTCCCTAACCATTTAAATTTGTAGATAAGGTGTTCATACGCTTCGATATGATACTAGAGCAAACAAAATTCTGAGTTCAAATATAATTATTTATTACTTCATCCTTTTAAATTTGTTTATATAGTTTTGAGTTGACACATAATTTAAAAAAATAAAAAAGACTTTTGAATTTTGTCTTAAATTAAAGATATGTAGAATATATTAAATTATATATTTTTAAAAAATATATAATTTTGTGATTTTAAACATTTTACGTAAAAAATTTAAATTAAAAAGTTGTAAAAGCGTAAAAGGAAAGACATTATTTTTTTTAACAAAAAGGAAAGTAAACAAACAAATTGAAAATTGAAATGAATGGAGTATTTACAAAACCAAAATAGAATTAATTAATTTTTTTCTATTTTGCTCTTAAAATCAATTCTTTTTATGTATATAAAATTTCAAAAAAGTTTCTCCATTATTAATTTTGGTATGGGTGGACAAGACTCATAAATAAAGTGTATATAAGAGACGTGTAAAAGAGAATACGCACCGAAATTGATCAGTGTGGGAAATTCTTGAAGAGTCTGAATTATTTTCATAAAGAAAACAATCATTCTTAGGAAGTTGAAGTCTTCTTTTCCTAATTGCAGCAATTAGGACCTGAATAATTTGAGCAATAGGACTTTTCATGGTTTTCTTGTATCTATACCTTTTAGTCCCTGACAAAAACATTATAACAGCAACCAACATAGAGAAAGAACAAATCCCATAACCCCAACTTCTACCAACTTCATCTTGTATATAAACAAGGACAGTAACAGCCAACAAAGTCCCAATAGTTATGAAGAAAAAGAACCAATTGAAAAATAGTGTCAATTGAGCCTTTTCTTTTTCATCAGTTTCATCAAATTGGTCAGTGCAAAATCCTGAAACACTTGATTTTAAGCCACCTATCCCTAATGCCATCAGATATAAAGATATGTATAGAACAGACATTTGAGATGTAGTTGCTTGTTCACAATTGGTACTTTTGAGTGAATAATGGACATTACATGGAGTTGGTTGAAGTTGTGGAAGCCTTGTTGATATAGATAACATGCCAGTCCCCTGTTTACAATGAATTAAATGCTATGTGAGATATTGATGCAATGTAGAAATAATTTAAAAAAATTATTGACTCAGTGTGGAAAATTAAAAATTATGTGAGATATTCCCTAAGTTCTAATTCATGTGACACTATTTGACAAGATACATAGCTTAAAAAGGAAAAAAAGACTTTTGAAATATGTCGTCCAAAATAATTAAGTTATACATATTTATGTAATTGTAAATCATCTTATTAAGCATAAAAGAAGGATTTTAAAGTTACATTATTTTCTAAATATAAAAGTGTGACATTACTTTTGAGATAGACTAAAAAAGAAGTGTATCACATATAATGGGACAAAAAGAGTAGTATATAGGTGTTTAAGGGGTAGAAAAGTCATCCCATAAGATTCGTCTAACTTGTTTAGGTGTTGGTGGGTTAATGATCCATTTATTTTAGGGAAAAAGGGCATGATATACTCCTCAACTTTGTGATATAGAGTTGATATACCCCTAATTCCAAAAGTGGCTCATATATATCTCTATTGTTATACAAATGGTCCAAATATACCTTTTTGGTCTATCAGCTCTTAAACGCAAATGTGAGCCACTTTTTTTAATGAGAAGTATATCAGCTCTTAATCGCAAAGTTTAGAGGTATATCATTCGCTTTTCCCTTTAATTTATTAAGAGGGTGTTTGATTTCACTAGAAGGTTGGTTAAAACAACTTTTAAGTAGTGTTCAGCCCTCAAGAGTGTTTGAATATTTCAAAAACAACTTAAAAATGTTAAAAGTTAAAAGTAAGTACCCCACTACTTTTCATTTTTTAACTTTAAAGCTACTAAAGTTTGACTTTTTAAGAATCTACTTTTTTTTAAGTTAAGTCAAACGGACCCTAAGTCTATTTTGACTAGATTAACTCAACTCATAAGTTTTGTCTACATATTTCTTATAAAGACGTACATATGACATACATTAGGACAATCCAGGATATGTATGATGGAGCCAAAATCCAGTTATGAATAGTGGGAGAAGACTTGGAGTATTTCTCAGTTGTAATGAAGTTGCATCATTGATCAGATCTTAGCCTGCTTTTACTTGCATTATTTTGGTGATGAATGAATAGATGCGGCATATCAAAGGAGAGGTGCCATGGTATATGTTATTTGCAAGTTTTATATATAGTTCTAATTGATGAGACTCGAGGTAGATTTATTGCTAAGCGGGAGGTTGGAGGCAAATTTTGAAGTCTAAAGGGTTTAGGTTGAGTAGAACCACAGTAGAATAGTTGGAGCATAAATTCAATAATGTAACAGCTGAAGTTGGTGTGGAAGTGAGGCTTGATACACAAGTCATTCAAAAAATAGGAGGTATCAAGTATCTTGGGTCTATTATTCCAAGGAAATGAGAAATTGACGATGATGTCATACATCGTGTAGTTGTAGGGTGGATGAAATAGAGGCTCACATCCGAAATCTTGTGTGATAAGAAGGTGCTATCAAAACATAAAGGGAAGTTTAGAGCGATAATTAGACCGGTATGTTATAGTGAGCGTAGTGTTGGCCGATCAAGAACTCACACATTTAAAAAATGAAAGTTGTGGAGATGAAGATACTAAGATGGATGTGTGGGCATATTAAGAGAGCATTATTATTAAGAATGAAGATATCTGGGATGGATAGAAGACAACATATGAAAAATGAGGTTGAGATGGTTCAGACGTATCCAAAGGAGGGGTACGATTCCCTCAATGCGGAGATGTAAGAGGTTGAACTATGGATGGTTTTAAGAGAAATAGAGGTAGATCGAAAAAGTTTTGAGGAGAGGTGATTAGATATGATATGACAAAAGTTCGGCTTATGAAAAAGTATTTCTTTATCCTACAATGCTTTAAACTATTTTTTTTTGGGCTGAGGGTCTATGAAAAATAATATTTCTACCTCTAAGGTAGTAGTAAAATCTGCGTATACTCTACTTTCCACATACCCAACTTTGTGAGATTACACTTGGTATATATAGTATATAGTCATGAATTTGTTTTTTTGATACTCAAACAAATTACAAGAAGATAAATCAAAGAATTTAAAATTTAGTAAGAATTGAATGTGTTAAATTACAACAGGTTTTAACCATTTTGGTCCAACCATTTTCAGCCTAAGCAAGTTTTGATCGGTTCTCAACTCAACTCATTTGACACGCTCAAATTTAACCCAACTTTTGCCCATTTGACTATCCATGTGTTTATAGTATGAAAAAAGTTTCGGGAAAAAAGATTTTACACAAGAAAATTGTATTTTTGATTTTTTTCCTATTTCCAAGAATAAGAAATTCTACCTCACTTATGTAAAGATGTCGTATATATATAATGAAAAATATTTTCCACCCACCAACAAAATAGAACCAACATTTTAATGATTTTCAATCATATAAAAAAAGACATGCATCATGTATGGACTTACGAGGGTTTGTATTATAGCAAAAATTGCAATGGTCCTGTATCTGCCCAAAAAAGAGTCAGCTATAACGCCACCAAGCAAACATAAGAGGAATGAGGTGCCCATGAAATCAGAGACAATCTTGGCTGAAGTAGCACTTGGGAGATGCATCGTTCCAATTAAGTAAGTCACAAGGTTTACTGCTATGCCCATTGTTGATAGCCTTTCACTCACTTCAATTCCTGGAAATTAAGTTTGCAATTTAATTTCAACATCAAATTATAAATATAGTACTCCCACTGTCTCAAATTGATTGTCTGATTTACACAAAGTTTAAGAAAGTAAAAAGTACTTCTGAATCCTATCATCTTAAACTAAAGACATGTTGAATATACCAAAATTTCATTTAATCTTATAGTCATACATATGAAACGTGGAAAGTTGAAATTAAAAAGTAGTAAAAAAAGAAAAGAAACATTCCTTTTTTAAAACGAACTAAAAAAGAGAGAGGAAAGTTCGACAGGCAAATTGAAACATAAGGAGTAAGTATTTCTGAAGTCTTTATACTTTCAAATGATTGCATACCTACAATGAGAGCATTGGAGAGCCAACCCCCAGTTTTAGATCTTATAGCTAGCAAACCTTTGTAGTCTACTGCTGCATTGCCTACTAAATCATCCATATTCACCCCCAAAATGTGCTGTATATCACAAACAATTTTGCACCAATATTGGAACGTGTCTTCACATATTTTATAAGTTACAATATGTCTCAAAGATGCATATTTCTCAATGCGAAAAGATGAAATTAGAAAGGATTTTTTTTTCCATTGCATATTGCTTAAGGACTCGATATCTTCTATGCTTATATATACATGCAGATAACACATACGACATGATTCACGCCAAAACTATCCTCTTTCTTTTTCGCCTGTAAAAGTTTTGTGCTGATTCGTTTTCATGGGCCAAGTAGGTGAAAATTATTTTTGCAATGAGTGGCGATGATACTCAATCTTAAAACCTTTGACTGCTCTGAATTTTGATACCATGTTTAAGTGTGTAACCATCTCATTTAAAAGCTTAAGCTGTTAGTGAGAGCACACTTTTATTAGCTAATTATATTCTCAATAGTTTCTTTTCTTTATTCACAGCTAAAAAACAAGAATTAGCGACAAATCAATTTTGTAGCTAAACAATAAAATATTAATCCTATTTAGCGGTAGATTAATAACAAATAGTTACAAAATTATGTTAGCTACGAGTATTTTAATGTAGCAACTAATTAGCAATAAAGTTCGTAACTAATTTTTAATTTTTAGTGATCGATACTTTATTTTGTGTTGGTGGGGTTCAAAATCAACAAATGAAAATCTCCACTATATCAGTAACATGTAAATTTGTCGCGGAACTCTTTTTGGTAGTAAAATGGTTGACATACTATGAATGGCATGATCTGCGTGCCTCCACCGATTCGTCTCAATTTATGAGCCATTACTTTTTTGTTATTAAATCTCAAAAATAATAATTTTTTTTTAATATTTAGTTATAATTATATTCTAAACATTATTTTACGATATTGAAATAATTTGTAGATATAGAATTTTAATTATGTTATCTCATGTATTAAGGTTAGCTCACTGTGTTTCCTTAAGAAATTTAATTCCCTCAAGTACCCGAGGTTGCAGATTAATTCCTCCCAAGATAAAACGGATTAACCTATTAGAGAACTAGTGGTACCTCAAACTTCAATAATTTTCAGCGAACGCAAGAACAGTAACGAGAACACACACAGACTCAGTCGATCGACAATTTTGTTTATGTAAGAAAATGTATGCTGAGAGGAAAAAGAATTTCAGTGTTGAAAACCGGAAAAAGAGTCTCTATTTATAGCCACTTGCAGCAAGGAACGCGTCTGTTCGGCAATGGTGTGAACGCTTCTGTTCAGACATGTCGTTCCAGAATGTTGTGTCTTTTGGGAAAAATAACGTCTTTTCGGAAGGAACATGTCCCTTCAGAACGACATTACCGTTGCATGCGAATTTCAAATAAATCCTGTTACGCGAAATTAATTCTGATAGTTAACTAACATCATGAATTAATTTATAAGAGAAAGGAAATCAATTAATGAGATTGATTAAATAAATTTTGTCCAAAAATATTATCAATCAAATCATTTGCCGAAGCCGAAGTTGAGCGAGCGACGATGACGGCACGAGGGGGCACCTTCTTCTTAACTCTTTAAGAACTAAAGGAAGTGTTTCCTTATATAAGGACAACAATTTTCCGTTCTTCTACCAATATGGGATAAATGACTTTTCATTTGCAATTTGCAATGACTTTTCATTTTCCCTCCAAAATTGGTTCCCCCACATTTCCATTTTCTCTTCTTATTTCCCGTTCACACCTTGCTAAAACCCAACAATCCCCCACATGAATGGAGAATGGCTATTGTTAAAACATATGCATGAAAAACTTGTGTGTCTCGTAAGTAAGGGTTAATCGCATCTGGATAAGTAGGTTTCCCTTTAAACTTTCCGTAGTGAACATATATCGATACTCGGTCAATCGTTAGATTTGATATCTTTGAACCATCGAACTTTGGTGTATTCCTAGACAACATAAGTCACACAATCAACACTTGAACTATTTTTGGTTCTCATTGTTTTGTTCGTTTCAGCCATGAACACATCTCAGTTAATAAGTGCTTAGAGAACTGGCCTTACCGGATTCTCCTTGAAGCGGCTTACACTTCACACTTACATAGGTGGTTTCTAACTGTGTTATCCCGTAGATACACTATTTGATATACCCTGTAGATGACTGTTCTCGGCCATAGTCCCATTCCCGTCGATGATCTCTCAACTCCCTCTCTAGTTAGGCCTTTTGTAAGTGGATTCGACATATTATCCTTTGACTTTTACATAGTCAATTGTGATAATTTCACTAGAGAGTAGTTGTCTAACAGAGTTATGTCTTCGTCGTATGTGACGAGACTTCCCGTTATACATAACACTTCCAACCCTTCCTATTGCAGCTTGACTATCACAGTGTATTCATATAGGGGCCATTGGTTTGGGCCAAAATGGAATATCTTCTAAGAAATTCCGGAGCCATTGAGCTTCTTCACCTGCCTTGTCTAAGACGATGAATTCAGACTCCATTGTAGAGCGAGCTATACATGTTTGTTTGGATGATTTCCAAGATATTGCTCCTCCACCAATAGTGAAAACATATACACTCGTGGATTTCGTTTCAGTTGACCCAGTAATCCAATTTGCATCACTATATCCTTCAAAAACTGCTGGATATCTGTTGTAATGCAAAACATAGTTTTGAGTGTCTTCTAAGTACCCCAAAACTCTCTTCATTGCCAACCAATGATTTTGATTGGGATTACTTGTGTATCGACTCAGTTTACTTATAACGAAGACTATGTCTGATCGTGTACAATTCATGACATACATCAAACTTCCCAATACTCTGGCGTAATCCAATTGAGACTGACTTTCACCTTTATTCTTAGCAAGATTAAGGTTTACAATTGGGGTCTTTGCCTTTTTGAAATTCAAATACTTGAACTTTTCAAGTACCTTTTGAATATAATGAGATTGAGACAATGCTAGACCGTTAGGAGTTTTGTGAATCTTTATTCCCAATATTAAATCGGCTACTCCTAGATCTTTCATATCAAACTTACTAGCAAGCATACGCTTAGTAGCTTTTATATTGGCAATGTCCTTGCTCATTATCAGCATGTCATCCACATATAGGCATACAATGACTTCCTGATCCGTAGTGTCTTTAATGTAAACACATTTATCACACTCATTGATCTTAAATCCATTTGACAACATGGTTTGATCAAACGTTGAATGCCATTGTTTCGGTGCTTTTTTTAGTCCATAAAGTGACTTAACAAGTTTGCATACTTTCTTTTCTTTACCGGGAACTACGAAGCCCTCAGGCTGTTCCATGTAGATTTCTTCCTCCAGCTCTCCATTTAAGAATGCGGTTTTCACATCCATTTGATGGATTTCAAGACCGTATACTGCAGCTAGGGCAATTAACATCCGAATTGATGTAATCCTAGTCACTGGCGAGTATGTGTCAAAATAATCAAGACCTTCTTTCTGTCTAAAGCCTTTGACAACAAGTCTTGCTTTATATTTGTCAATAATTCCATCATCTTTCATCTTCTTTTTGAAGATCCATTTTGAACCCAAAGGTTTGTTCCCTGGAGGAAGATCAACCAACTCCCAGGTATGATTGCTTAAGATTGATTCAATCTCACTATTGACAGCCTCCTTCCAAGAGGTTGAGTCGCTAGACAACATAGCTTCCTTGAATGTTTGAGGCTCACTTTCAAGAAGGAATGTTACAAAATCAGATCCAAATGAAGTAGTTGTCCTTTGACACTTTACTGCGCCTTGGACTCTCTTCATTAGGTTCATTCTCTTTTGGTTCTTCTCGAGGTCGTTTAGACCCCCCACTAGATGACTCAAGTCTAGTTTTATACGGATAGATATGTTCAAAGAATTCAGCATTATCTGATTCCATTACCGTATTGTTCATGAATATCCGGTTGTTCGAACTTATGAACCAAAAATCGACATGCCTTACTATTTGTGGCATAGACAATAAATACACAATCTACAGTCTTAGGTCCTATTTTCACCCTCTTAGGTATAGGAACCTGGACTTTTACTAGACAACCCCACACTTTGAAATATTTCAAGTTGGGTTTTCTACCTTTCCATTTCTCATATGGAATAACATGTGTCTTGCTATGAGGCACTCTATTGAGTATTCGACTTGCTGTAAGGATAGCTTCCCCCCACAAGTTTTGTGATAAACCTAAACTTATAAGTAAGGCATTCATCATTTCCTTTAAAGTTCGGTTTTTCCTTTCCGCAATTCCATTAGATTGAGGAGAGTAAGGAGTAGTAGTTTGATGGATGATTCCATTTTCCAACATATTTCTACAAATAGAGATTCATATTCTCCATCTCTATCATTGATCATTTTGATCTTTTTATCCAACTGATTTTCAACTTCAGTTTTATATTGCCTAAATGCATCTATTGCTTCATCCTTACCATTTAGCAAATAGACATAACAATATCTAGTGCAATCGTCAATAAAAGTTATGAAATACTTTTTCAAACCACGTGTTGGTGTTGACTTTATGTCACAAATGTCAGTGTGAATCAGTTCTAAGGGATATGAATTCTTTTCAACAGACTTTAAGGATGCTTAGCATACTTAGATTCAACACAAACTTGACATTTTGATTTATTGCACTCAAATTTAGGCAAAACATTTAAGTTAATCAGTTTTCACAAGATTTTTTTATTAATGTGTCCCAAATGTTCATGCCATAACATTTAGACTCAAGCAAGTAAGAAGAAGCAGAATCTTTATTCATATCAACTGCAAATATATTGAGTTTGAAGAGGCCCACAGTGTGGTAACCTTTTCCTACATACATCTCATTCTTACTAATTACTACAACTTTATCAGAAACAAATACACATTTGAATCCATTCTTGATAAGAACTGGTATAGAAACTAAGTTCTTTCGCAATTCTGGAACATACAGGACCCTATTCAAAGTCACCACCTTGCCGATGTCATATTCAAGTGGACCTTGCCAGTTCCTTCAACCTTTGCAGCAACGGAGTTC